CTGTTGGTCTATTTCTAATTGTTGAAGATGCTGTGTCAGTTTGTTAATTTTGGTTCTTTCCTCTTTTTGGATGTGCGCATTTATCACAATAAATGGTCCCCTCAGCACTGCTTTCACCATGTCCCAAAGATTTCGGTATGTTGTGTTTTCATTAATGTTTAATTTCTTATTTTACCCATTCGCTTTGCAGCAGGGTGTTATTCAGTTTCCATGTATTCAACTTTATTTCCTTGGTCTTCTTATTGTTGATTTCTAGTTTAATAGCATTGTTGTCTGAAGAGATGTTTTGTAGTATTTTGATGTTTGTAAATTTATGGAGGCTTGCTTTGTGACCTAACACATGGTCAATTCTGGAAATGTTCCATGTGCACTGGAGAAAAATGTATATTGTGCTGTTGTTGGGGTGAATGCTCTGAACACATTATGAGGTCAAGTTGCTTGATTGTGTTGTTTACTTCCTCTGTGGAGGAACATGAAAACTTTAGGGCTGGGACCATAGGCAGAAGTCAAAAGCAGCAGCCAGAGAATTTGCCCTTGGATCGATGGGGCTCTTTCTCTCTATGCCGTGGAAAGGCTGTGATCTAAATGCTGGACTATTTTTGGGGGGTGAGCACCCACCCACCTGAAGGCATCCGGGCTGGGCAAAGGAGGTGCAACAGGGAAGAGGAAGAAAAGAAATATGTAGAATACCCCCACACTTCCTTTGCAAATGTTGCTGCACTACACGGGTTCCCAGTGCCTGTCTGGCTGTAGCCCCACCCTCTGACCTCTACCTGGGCGGGATGGCCACAGAGGGAGTACCGATTTCTTGACTGGTTTCTACATCAAAATATTTTCCTTTATACCATAATTTTTCCACTGGCAGTAGTGGATAACTTATGCCCTGACACTTATGTTAGGTCCAGAGCTCTGAGGTGATTTGTGAGAGCAGTGTTTCTAGATTTTCATCCCCACCCCCACTGAGCCCGTCCTACCTGACTCTGCTCTGCCACCTCCAAACCAGAAGTTCCCTTCATCAGTATCTTAAGTCCTCTTCACTTTCAGCAAGCAAGGTTGTATCATCTGCATATCTCAGG